TTTAGTTGTAGTAAAATTTCTTTAAACAAAGTAATGATAAAAATTAAGGGACTGTTTGGGACAGTTGCAGCTGTTTGAAGAAACACTGTGAAGCTATTGTATAAGAAATTGTTACTCAAAAAATTGTGATGACAATTACAATTTTTTTTAAGTCAATTAGTAACTTTTTAGCAGCCACATCAAAGGTAAGATTGTAAAATGCAGCTTCTCATTACAATTTTTTGAAAAAACAGATAAAATATAGTTTTGCAAAAGATCACATAGTGTCGTGCAGCGGTACGCCACCACGACATCGCTAACCCTTAACGCGTCCTAAATTTATGGAAACACCTTAATATAGACATTATTTTGAAAATAACTAATCTTGCAGAAACAAAACAAAAAAATTCAAAAAAAAATATTTTTTTATTTTAAAGGAAAAAGTAAAAATATTGAAAATAGTTGAGTATTTATCTTTCATGAATAAAAATTGTGATGATATCTCAGCCGTGTTCGACTACAAGTAGGATTTAACTATAAAATTTAACTGAAAATACAAATTTAATAAATCTCACAAAAATAGCTATTCACTATAATTTTTTTGAAAAAACAAATAAAATATAATTTTTCCAAACAATACAGAGTTGTATTTGAACAATACTGCTGCCCCTAACGCATCCTAAATTTCTGGAAACACCTTAATATAGATATTCTTTTGAAAATAACTAATCTTGCAAAAAACAAAAATTTTTCACTAAAAAAATAGTTTAATTTAAAGAAAAAAAGTAGAAAAATTAAAAAGTAGTTGAGTATTTATCTTCTATGAATTAACATTATCATATCTCATGATTGTTTGACTACAAGTAGGATTTAACATAAGTAGAATCTAAAACAAATTTAATAAATCTCAACAAAAACTATTTAATTAGTTCAAAATGAAAAATTTGTAAGAGAAAAATCCATAAATTTTTAAATTTTATGAAAAAAGAGATTTAATAAACCCTACATTTAATCAATAACAAGAATGTAATGGGAATTATCAAAATAATTGAATTTAGAAGGATTTTAGTAGGGATTTGAGCAAGAATTAACTTAAATTCTACCAATTGTTATAAATTATAAGTTTAAATGTTGTTTCTCCCTTCTTTACTTTAAATCTCTGATTTAACAAATAGAGAGATTCTATGAATTTAATTTAAATCTATGGCTTCTCTTCCTTTAGCGAGCACTTGTCACAAGCATTTCTTCTTCACACAACATCAGTCCTATCAATCCATTATCCTAGGAAAATCTTTTCATGAGCTCTTCCTCTTCACCCACATCGATCAAATCAATGCCTTCCCAAAAGTAAGCTCTATCATGCATCTTTCACTATGCCAATTACTTGAGGATTTCGAGAATTGGAGGAATGAAATAAAATATTAGTTATATATATATATATATATATATTTAACCATAAATTTGAAAATAAATGATATTTATTTATGTGATTCACCATCCCACGATACTTTGTCGCAGATGCCTAATGATTGTTGTTCTTCACATGTCAAATTGGGGTCCAAAGCCTCTCACTAAAGCAGCTCGAGCCTCCATCTTGCATCCGATTGAACTTTCCCTTTAATGTCAAATTCTTTGTCAAACTAGATCCCTATTTTTTACTTTTACTGCCATATGTTATATTTGTTAGTCCTGTAATAGAAATTTATCATAAAAAGCCAACCATATCTCTTCATCTCAAGTGGTACAAACTCTTTTATAGAGATATTTCAAGCATAATTTTTTTAAGAGTTATGGTGAAAGGCTGATAGCTTGTAATTTGATTAAGCTGTACTATTTGAAATTTTTAATTGCATTATGAAATATATAATAAAAGATTTGTAATTTGATTAAGTTGTACTATTTTTAATTTTTAATTGCATTATTGAAATTTTTATAGAGCTCTATCATTGGTGGATTTTGAAATAGTGAAGTTTCAACAAAGCCTAATGCATAAGATATTAAGCTATTCTGGAATCATATTTACTAAGTTGGGAAGACTTTTTGAACTTGGAAGAAATATTACATTTAAATGCAATTACAAAATATCACATCCAAGGGCCATATTTACTAGTGAAATCCCACTTAAGATTATTAGTCATGGAATTGATATTTTTCCTAAAACAAATGCCTCACAATTGAATGAAATGAAAAGCACATTAATGATGCTGATTTTAGAATCAAAAGCACTATTCCTAAAAAGATATCATTATCAAGTACTCCTGGTCATGTCATTCTACTTTTAGGTTCAAAACACTGATGTTAACATCAATGCATGTTCATTTAAGATAAAAGGTATGAGCCGAAAAAAATATGTTGCAGGCACTAATTTAAAAAAAGAACTTAATTTGTAAACGCAAAAACATCTAGATATTAAAATGGTAAGATTTTTTTTTTTTTTTTTTGAGTTGGCCTTTATATTAACTTTGAAAGCAATTCTCATTATATGGATGTATTCATATGGTAAGCATGCCTTTATATGAGATGAAATTCGTGTAGGTTATGTACCGCTAGGATAAAACCCCAACATATCAAAGTTTTTACAAAAAGAGAAATCAAACACATTGTGAAGTTACATAAACCTACAAAAGTGACAGAAAGGAGAAAGACATGAGTTTTGAGTGTGAGAGATGGATTGCCCCTTAAAAAAAATTAACTTAATAATTTATAGCAATATCATAAAATTACCAAGTGTTCATTAAAACTAAAAATTATGTGGAACAATATAAAAAAAAAAAAATTCAATGTCAATCAGATTAAATAAATGAAAATAATGGTTAGCCCATTAAACATTTTTAAAGTTATTATTAACAATGATCTAATTTGCCGAGGATTTGCTTGGCTAGCAAACAGATCCTCACATTTTTTGGATTTCATGTCTTGCACACTACTAACCTTATTTTAACAATATTTGTACCGGTAAAATACCAAGGGAAATTTGATCAATTACAATTAATATAATTGGATCGCAAGAGTTGATGAAGATGTTATTTTTATTAAAAATTTCTTGTGAATCGTTATTTAAGACGTTCTCTCTTCAATCATTTCTTAACTTTGAAAATACTTGTGGGTAAAACTTATTTTATTTCAGTAATTGTGATATTGAGAAAACTTGAACAAACTAAAAATACACTTCAAAAGAAGACAGACTAATGGGAAAAACTCATATTATAATGAGGACGATGTTAAGAGGGTAATATATGTGAGAGAAAAAAAATACTTGATACTTAATGTTGGGATAAATTTGATTGCATTTTTTTTTATTAATTTTTTTTATCACAAGATTGGAGTTGTGGATTAAAAAAAATCTAGATTTATATGGCATGGGATTCCATATTATTTGTAGTGAAAGAAGCAATATATAGAAATAAAAGAAAGTGAAATGATAAAGATTCAAGCTTTTAAAGTGTTATACACATTATTTTTGGAGAATAGATGAAGCAAAACCTACACTACTCAATATGGTTGGCTTATTCTTTAAATTCAAAGCGAAATCTAATTTAAACTTTTATAATGTATTCTCAATTCAAAAAATAATTATTATTTAATATTTTTGCTTAAATTCTTGAAAATATTCAAGCAAAAAATAATTACAAGAGAATCATCAAGGTATTTCCACTTGAAACGGTGAAAAAAATTTAAATATGAGATAGCTTGCTTGAAATATTATTTTTCAAATGAGAGAGACAACATGAATGTCGAACTAGCTAATTTCCTTAAATATCCAGTGAGACTAAGAGGTTAAGCATATGTATGAGAGAAATTTTCCAATTTCTCTCACAACACGCGGAATTAACTTGGCTAATAAGTTTTATAACAATAGTTCGATGAAGAGAAGTTGAAGCTCCATGATTCAATATAGATGAAAGAATTGCTCCATAACAAACTAAATATTTAGTTTAATCCTTGCCATCAATCAATAAAAATCCCAAATTATAAAAAAGGAGATAATGAAATATGGGGTGTTGCAAAAGATAAATTTGAGACTTTTGATAGTATATAAATTTGGGGATCAAATATTTCTTATGATGAGTCAGAATGGGAAGCCATGACATTTTTGAAAGTTAAAGCTAGAATTTATGTGCCTTGCAACTTTTGAAAGTTAAAGCTAGAATTACATGACAATATTCATTGTTCCTCTTAATATTCTATTTATTCAACTTTTACAATTTTTTTTAAGATATAAAAACTACAAGATGTTATCCTAAAGAAATCCATGTTTTATATTTTCAATAAAAGATGTCTCCAAGCCGTGTCAAGTCCGTATCCGTGCATCTTAGGCAACAATAGAATATCTGTTATAGTTGTGTTGTCTATTTTGTATATACAAAACTTAAATGTTTCACGTATAAGTGTTGCCATTTTATATATACAAGGATTGAAGAGTTCTTACAGTATTATTCTATCAAATTCAATGATCAATAATAAATTTAGCTTACTATTTTACTTATCTTAGAAATAGTTTAATCAAATCAATTACTCTTGCAAGAGAAAATAATTGCTTAACTATCATTGATTCACTCTTTTTAGTGAAACTAATAATAATCTTGTGAAAGTGTTTTTGTGTTTTATGTGATTTTCCTCTATACAAAAGGTTTATCAAAATTTAATGAATTTAATACTGATTTTATCAAATAATTTTTAAGACTTAATCCACACAAAATTAATTAAATCTGTATATATAGGATTTACTAAATTCTATAGGGACGTTTACAAATATACCACAAAATTCTTATGTATTTACATATCCAACGCCTAAAGTTTCATATTTGCATCCATAACACTCAAAACATTAACATCATATCAAAAATAGCATCACTACTAACTTCCTAAAAGTGAAATACAACTTTTCATGCATAGATTTTTACACCAATGTGGTAGATATGTAAACACAAAAGAATTGTGTCATACGTACGTAAATTTTCCAATTCTAATCCAAGAGTTCCTGCTCAAAAATAGGATACCAAACAGCAATATGGTATTACCTGACTCAAAACATATCTCACGGCCACAGAAGGAATAGAAACCCCATGCTTGGAAGCAACCGTCTTCAGTGTTTGAAGCAAAACTTGAAAGAGACTCCAATCTCCCCAAGCATCAACCATCTGCAATATCCAGAAAAGAGAAATCATATTAGGACCTAGTGCAAACCAGTTCGCGATAGAATGCATATTAAATGGATCTTATACCCTTTTATACTTCTGAAGTGATGGGGTATTTAAAGAAGGGCCTGCAAAAGGAATTGATAAATTGACATCTAGGAACTTCTCAGACAGGAGCCCACCCATAACAGTTCCATACCTGCATCAGCAAGCACATTAAAATGGTGTGTAAATCATTGTTAGAAAGAGAGAGAGAGACAGACGTTATAAGTTGAACTCCTGTGCGCCGACAAAGTTCAGCCATTTTTTGTTGTGGTCGCATGTCAATAACAGAATGTTGTACCTGGAACAATCATTTGAACACATGGGTAAGAAAGGATAACACGGACTATATAATACAAAAAACATGATTTTACCTGATTGCTAACTATTGGTATACCATTTTCCAGTATTATGTGCAATCTCTCTGTATCGAAATTGGTTAGAGCCAAGGTTTTTATTTTACCTGTATATTTTTAATCAATGAATAAAATCAGATCAAAAACTAAAAAAGAGATTGGTAAATATTTTTTTGATGAATAACTCAAACCTTCCTCCTTTAGATCGGTTAAGTGTTTAAGAGCATCAAGGTATCCAGGATTAGAATAATCCCACCTATTTAATGTAAAAAATAACTAACTTACGACTCATAAATGTACAAAAGAACAAAGATACCGTTTCTTGTACACAGCATTTTTTAGGTAACTGAAAACATTCTGACAGTATATGTCCATTTACATGTGCATTTACACTTTGAGAAACAAAATAAAGAAATCTATGGTACGTTCAAACTAGGAATCAGCAAGCCAGAAAGGATAAAAAACTCTTTTAAAATTTTTTAAGGTCATACGGCACAATTCTGCAACAGATCAAGACATTGCAAAAGTTAATTGCAGGCTATTTTTTTTTAAGAGCAGAAAGCTAAAGCTTTGATGGACAATCTCGCAGCTACAGAAAAAGGACAATTGATAAACTACAGTAAAGGAAATTGTGAAATTCTACCAAGTAGAATCATTCAATGACATTCAATAAAATATTTGATTGAAAGCTGTTCAGACCTCAGCTTGCACTTATCTATCATATTAAATAACACCGTATTTAGGTATCAAATAACTTTAAGAAAATAAACACTATATATTTTCATATGTAAATTTGGAAGAAAAACAAACCCTAAGAAAAAAGTTTGAAACCAAGTCCATATATATTGGTAACTTCAATAAGCCAATGTAAAAATTATATGAGCTTCATTTTTGGTGATGGTGTTCCAAAAGAAAGGGGTTAATTACTACATAAAGGCATTGAAATCCTATCCTTCTTCCTCTTTTTGTAGAAAGTGAGGAAGTCTCCACTGCCTGAGGTTGAAGCAATTAATAGACATGAGTAGAGAGAGCAAACCAGGTGAAGACTCGCCAATTTCTTCATGTTCATCCTCTCTGCTTCCCATCTGCTGGAGAGGAAGTATGGGGAGAGAACCAAAGTGAAGAGAGAGCAACCTACTCATTGCTAGACAACAAGTCACACCCAGCAGAAGGAGAAAAGACAGTCATAATTACCAAAGCACATCTCACCATCCTTGGAAAGCCCCAAGAGAAATGTAGGATGGAAGGAAAAGAGGTCATTACACAATCTTGAATGCCTTTTTGGGAGGGGTTTTCCTTTGTGATAGCAAATATGCTGAGGAAAAAGTAGGCTTGGTTTTTTTTCAAAGAAGGAGAAGCATTGCACTGAAATATTGGTGCCAAAAGCACATCATTTCCCAAACAAATTCTAATCTCTTACTGATGCAACAGATCAATCATTGTTTAGTATTTAAACAAAAGAAAAAGCATGATGAGAAAAAGCAGCTTCATCCACATATGACTAATTTCTTAAGCCCCTTAAAAGCCCAGCTCAAGAAAAAAATATGCATCAAAAGCAACCCTAATGATGTAAAGTGAAGGGGAAAACGAATTCACAAGTTACATTTGGTCAACACTAATCTCTGAATACAAACACACAAACTTTGTAAGAGAGCTAAAACAAAAAAACAAGTAGCTTACCAGTGGAATTGAAGCATGTCCAATGAAGAAACATCCATCCTTTTCCGTGAAATATTGATGTTATCCCTCACATAGTTGTTTGTCATTTTGACAGGAGGTGGCACCCATTTTGTAAGGCTTTAGCAAAAGACAATTGGAATGAGAACCTATGGCTGACATGACTTGTGTAATACAAGGATCTAAAAATTTAAATACTATAGCAACTCAGGAATTGTAGTAAATAAGTCGGACACACCACCAAATAAAATTTTTTGACAAACAAATTTATCCATTACTGTTGCTTACAATTGTGACTGTTCATTAATACAGTACTGTAAATGTTTCAGTTTCATATTTAGGAACATATACTGAAAAAAAAAAGCAATCTGCTAAACACTCACCCTTTTATCTCTTCAAGGAACTCTGGAGGACGCTCCCGACGAACTCTGTTGATGAAAATGCCATACAAGTCTTCTGCGGGTCCATCTGACAAAACAGTAATTTTATCTTGCTTGTATGCAGGTATCAGAGAAATGAAAATCCACGAAATGTTTATTGCCCATAGCCGAAAGTTGCAATAAAAAAGTCTTTTATAACATTTCTTTTTAACGAACGTTAATTATAACATATACAAAATTTTTTATGACTTTCAATTTCAAATGATTAATAGCTGATTAATACTTTATTATTTAGCTTCTTTCTATATCAAAATATTTTTTAAAGGCATGTCTAGCGTATATGTTGTAATTCAGGATCTCAATTAATTTCTACATGGTAAATAATTCAAATAAAATCAAGAAATGAGAATAGATGCTAAATTTTTCATTTCATAGCATTTGAACAGTGTTAAGAAAGGCTACGTCGAGGTAGACCTAGGAAGACTTGGGCTTATTGTATTAAAAATGATCTTAATTTACTAGAACTAAATGAAAATATGACACTAAATAGGACGCAATGGAGAAAAAGGATTCATGTAGCCGACCCATTTGAACAACTCGGCCTGATTCATTGTTCCCTGCTTCGCATGTGGAGGATCATCTGAGTTGAGAAGAGTATGGAAGTTCATGGTGAAAAGAAATAAAACTCATAACTCCGCCAAGCCTGAGAACAACAAGTTCAATAATCTGAATGATCTTCTTTACAGCCATTACTTCTACCAACAAGGGCTCGTGCTTATCACCTAGGCTTAGAATGAAGGAAATTTCAACACTTGTCATGCTCATGAGCCCAAAGATCAAGAATAAAAAAGGTGTCCATAGAACCATCCAGCAACCATTAGAGCCTTCGACCACAGCCCCAACAATGGAAGCATTGTAACAATCTTGTAAAGGCTTGGCTCTAAGATACAATCTTGCAGCACATTGGAGAAAACATAACATACAATGAGGTCGCTCATGAAGCATAGTTTGAGTTTAGGAATCGGTTTCATACACAAATAGCGTCCACCTCTTGCATGTCAAAGAAGCCATGCTTGATTGTAAAGAGGCCAACAAGACTAAAGGAGATATTCAACAATGTTCAAAGGCCTATGCAATGAATGAGATGCATTGTGTTGCATTCCAAAACATGGGGAACCATGATGGATAGATTATGGCTTCAAAAAATCTAAAAAAACTATGAAATTTCTCATGGGACTTGATGAAAATTATATCGTTGTTCAAGGGAGAATCCTACTTATGGATCCACTTTCTACCATTAACAAAGCTCATTGTCTGATCTTTCTAGATGAAAAATCATGAGAAATATTAAATGGAAGCACACCACTAGTCAAAGCCTCAACCTTCACTGCAAAAAAATGACTCACAAAAATTATGAAAAAAAAATGTCACACCTAAAACTTAGCATCTGATGTCGATAACTTGTAGCAAAATTGGGCATATTTCAAGAACATGTTGTTGGGCAAATCTTGCGACTCTTGAGCTTGGCAAGTTAACACCATTAATGTTAGTTGAAAGTCCCAAAAGACAAAGTCTACAGTCAACAAACATAATCAATAGACAACAAAAATTCCTCTTGATAGCCAATTTTGTAGATGCTAACAGTCCACAACTCATACATCATTCACCAATAAAACCTAGCATATCAGAATCTCATGAAACTTCTCACTATGAATAAACCTAACTTAATAACCATCCATGTTGATAGTGCACCCTAAAGTATTTTATTCATGCTTTACAAAAACTTATTATTTTAACAGATTCTATCATGATGCTTATTGACTCATTATTGCACGAGCAGACCTTTCAGTAAAAGAATTTCAATAGATACTTGAATTTATGTTACAACTTTAAATTTGACTTCTATTGAATTTTGGTTGGTTGCTACTTAAATAGTTATTCTTCCTTTCCATTGGTTCTTGAAGTTTTATTTCCGTGTTGAACTATAGTTGAAGAAGCAATTACAAAAATAAAATATCATTTATTTTTTGTGCTTAACTAACATATCCTCTTTATAATTATTTGTATATAAAATTTTGTCTAGAGTGCACAATAGATCATATTGACTTTTAAAGTTTGCCTTAAAAGCTAAAATTAAACCCTTCAACATGTCTCGGGTTAATGGGATATACAATGATCAGGATCAGAGCTGTGACAACTTCAACTTACATTAGATTTTGAGAAATGTTAAATTTCCTATGTTTAAAAAGTTACGATATAATCTGAGAATGCATCATTTCATTGAAGTAGTCAAGTTTGATCAGTTTGCATATAAAATCCCGTAAAAAATCTTTAATGCAACAAGTTTGTTCCATGTATTGTCTCTAGTAAGGCATTTCTTTGCAAGGTATTAATGAGACTAAACAATTATTTTGTGCACTTTTTGGATTTATTTTTTAAATTAGAGACCAATATTGTGAAGTGAAATTTTGTTAAAGTTTTTATTATTGGTTTTTAAGTGATTTATATGATCTTGAATTGTTAGATATAGTTAGTCATTTATAAAATGAGAATAAAGAATTTGACATTGAAGTCTACAAAGTTAAAATCAAATTTATAATTTTCCATATGTATTTACTGCGATAAATAAACCAAGTGAGGTATATCTCAAGCTAAAAAGCATCACAGTAGTCTTTTGATACAATTTAAATTGAGTAAAGTGATTATGGCCCGTTTGGGGCAGCTTGTAAGTGCGGTGGCGTTTTTGAAAACGTCACGGTACCGTTTGGATCGCGCGTTTTGTCCGCTTATCCGAATACGCGGTTCTATTTTTACACTAAATGCAGGCCGCAGGTCGACCCCCGCAATCGACCCACGGGCCGCCCCAATCGACCCACGGGCCGCGTTTCAGGATAAACTGCTTATCCTGAAACGCACAAGCTGCCCAAAACACATCCTAAATGTAAGAAACTTTCTTCAAGGTAGAGGAAGAGCTACATGAAAGTTAACATTCAAATTTTTTTCTTCAAGTTAAGGCATTTGCATCATTTTTAAAAATTCTAAATTAAGTTTTAAGTCATTTCTAAAATAGTTATTGTTTTACGATTGTTATTTAAAGGTTTCATTATATTTACTAAAAATTATTGTACGATGTAATTTAAGCTTTATTAGTTAAATATTTATCATATAACCATAATATATATACAAGATATATAAGTTATGAGAACTACAGTTAACAAAACTTCACTTACTCTATGCAGCTACCAATATATCATCAATATATAAGAGAAAGTACATAAAAGACCCATCATCATTCCTCTTAAAATAGACACAACAATCATAGCTACTTCTCGTAAACCCATGAGTGATCATAAACGGGTCAAATTTCTTATAGCACTGTATGGGAGATTGTTTCAAATCATAAAGAAAATTATTTGATAAGCAGCCATAGTCTTGTTTTCTTGTAACCATGAAACTCTCATATTGTTATATATTATTATCGTCTTCGAGCTCCATAAAAAAAAATGCAATCTTTCCATCCAACTGCTTAAACTCGACGTCATGATTAGCCGATATATCAAGTAAAGTTCACATTGAGTTATGTTTAACCATTATAAAGAATACATCCATAAATTTTACAACAAAATTTTGACTGAATCTTTTTGTAACTAGTCTAACATTGTATTTAGCTTTCTTCATCTCCCGGCGTATCATAATTTTTCTTAAACACATATTTGTAGTAGACAACTTTCTTCTTCTTGGGCAACTTGACTAAATCCCAACTACTATTTTTGGGAAGAGATTTTATCTTTTCCAATATAGCAATCATTCATTTATTAGAATCAACTATATCAACAATCCCTTTATAACTAGCAGATTCTTCACCACACTTGATACTTTCAGCTACATTAGGGCATTAGTGATCAAATCAGTCACACCATACTTCCACAATGGTTTAATTTTTCTACTTGCTCTATCCTTGACGATAGAATATTGAGGTGATTATTATTGTGATGATGAGGGAGTAACATCACTATGACTAAACTTAATGAAGTATTCATGCCAAAAGATATACATGTATTAATCTGAACCTCTACATGTTTATTAGACCTCTTCTCTAGATCAAAATTACTAGAAACTGTGGCCAGTGGTGCATATCATATAACAAACTCATCAAACAAAATATCTCTACTAAAGATTATGTTTTTATTTCTAGGCACCATAACTTGTAGCCTTAAATCCAGGTTAAAAACCAAGAAATATACACTTTCTAAACTTATGCTCTAATTTATCATTATTAACGTGAGCATACGTATGGTAGCCAAAAATTCTTAAATTAAAATGACAGGTTTATCTAACTAAATCTCCTATATAGCTTTCTAATTAATAGCAATTAAAGAAGTGTGATTCACTAAACAACAATCTGTAGAAGCAGCATTAACCAAGAATAATTTAGGTAGCACAGCATGACTTTGGTATGCTAGCCTCTTTGAGTATGCAATGTGTTTTCTTCAACATATTCTTATCCATTCATCTGCTGTATCATTTAAATGTGGCGTATATCAAACTATGTAGTCTCTCAAAATTTCCTCTAATTTAAAGAAGAAAGTAAATTTTCCTAAACCGTTATCAGTACCTAAATATTTAATTTGATCTACATATAAATCATAATATTATACTCTTTAAATGTAATAAATACAGCACTACTTAGTTTCAGGAAGAAAAATTAAATTTTCATGAAAATTAAATAATAATCGATAGCATATATCAAACTATGAAAGTATGCAATGTGTTTTCTTCATTATATTTTTATCCTTTCATCTGCTATATCATTTTAATGTGGAGTATATCAAACTATGAAGTCTCTTAAATAGGCAACGCTCATAAAACTTCAATTTAATATTAATCTGGCTATCAAGGAGGCCTCTTCTGTTCAGTTTATTCATCCCAATCTCACTCATGTACCTGTTGACCTCAATTTTCGTGAAGTCTAGTATTTCTTGTAGGAGTTAGGATCTAGCCTTAGGGGTCTTCCTGCGACTATCTTAGAGCCTTAGAAGTGGTGCCCGCCTCGTTTTAGTTCGACCTATTTCCGTCCTCTTTTGGAGG